CATTCGTCAAGCAATGTACTGGCTTGCATTGATACAAGTAGGTAGTTGTCGAAAACTGCACAGAATATGCACGGTCCGTATGTAAAGTTTAATTAACTGTAAAAACGTAATACAGGTTGTTTTTATTTAACGGTGCTTTTGCAATAGGGTTTACCTAGGTAATAATTTTTTAGTAAAAGTTTAATATTTTTATTGTTGATTTTAGTTTTTACCGTAGGCGGAAGGTTATTTATTAGTGTTGGTATTGTGCATTTTAATTGATGTCTTCCGTACAAATTATTATACCGAAGGATAAATACTCTTCTGTTCATCATAAATATACGAATCATTATTCGTATAATTGAACCATTGTTCTCTATATACATATAATCTACGACTTAACATTAATTGTTAAAACTGTTAATTACATTAAAAAGTTTTTGTATTGGTTTTCCTCCACGAAATATCCTGACGGATGTGTGATATCATACTTTTGTCCCATTACTATTTCATAATAATTAGGGAAGGCACATCACACTCTAAGTAATTAAAATCTACGTATTTAAGACCCTAAGATTTGTAGCCGATGAAAAACTAAGGAATGTAGTTTATTTTGCTCTCGTTCAATCCCTATTTACCTGTATAACATCTTGAGGTGGTGCTCTGAAACGTACAATCTTGGAACTTTAGAGTACGCAGAGAGCTATTCTGAAGATATTTTTTTTCTAACTTTTTCGATACCCCACTTCTCTTTTATACAGAGGCTAAAGTTGTAACTGTACGTCAGCTGTTTATACCACAAGCGGTACTAAAACAGCATGGACTCCTTACATTTAACCCCTCTCTGTCTCGTGGGAAAAGACGGATCAACCCTGTGACCCATCATTATCGGCTCAACACTATGTTTTCTAAACGCTTCTTTTGCTTTCTTGGTCGCTTTTTCTATAATAAATTAAATACGAAACTTTCTGTATGTAATCTTACTAAGATAAGGTACAAAATGAAAGTAGGATATTGGCTTCAGGAGTTGATATATGAGGATACGGAACTACTAATTCCGTAATAATAATAATCAGTACGCATGTGATTTATTATATTTTATTTTAATTATTATTATTATAGTATGTTAGAAAACTTTTTCCATAATGATCGCCTTGCCAGCACACTCACAACCCCTCACATAACTCACGCACGCACGCACTCACATTAACACACACACACACACACACACACACACACACACACACACACACACA